GGGAAAGCAAACACAAAAGAACAAATTCTTGCTGCTAGGCTCATCCCACCAAGATCAGTGAGGCTTCATTGCTCTAATGGATAGATGGGCTCAGGCAAGGTAAAGCTTATGAGTGTCAGCAGGTGATGCTGCAGTGGGGCCAGGGCGATGATGTAAGCCTTCCTGATACTCTGGTTGCAAAGAAGAGACAGAGTGGAGCTGTAAGGGAAGGCTCTGTGTGGAGCTGGCTGTGGGATGCTGGGCACACAACAGAGAACCAGAAAGGGGCTGTGTTTACCTAGGAAAGGCAGAATTTCCTTTAATCAAATATAGTGGCCTCCAGTTGCACAGAGGGAGGTTCAGGATGGGTATTAGGAAACATTTCATCTCCAAAAAAGTGGTGATGCATTGGCACGGGCTGCCCAGGGGAGGGCTGGAGTCACCGTCCCTGGAGGTGTTCAAGCAATGTGTAGATGTGGCACTGAGGGATGCAGTTAGTGGGCACGGTGGGGATGGACTGCAAGACTAGATCATAGAGGTCTTTTCCAACATTAACAATTCTATAATTCTATAATTCTAAAGCATCTACAACAAAGCAAGGTGGATAAGACCCAAATAAGAGGAATGAACTCAAATACTTAAAAGCAGTGAATGAATGAGAGCTGACACTGATCTGTGTAGACAAGCGTTTACTGAAGGGATTTGTGTATTCCCTTTCAGTTTTAAAAAAAAATATCTTATTTATATTGAATGTTTATGTAACTCTTCAGAGTAACTGTTGGAGGCCAATTTGAAGATTCTATTGCTAAATAACTAAACATTTCATATTGCAAATTCATGTATTGATGCTACTTATGTGTTTGAATTGCTGTGATTACTTGGGAGCGCTGCAAATGCACTGTGCCTTACTCCAAACTGAAGTCTCATGTTCCTGTTACCTTTTTCACAATTTGTAAAGGACATTGCTGTCTTACAGGAGGAGGGAGTGTGGTCTGCTAGGCAGAGCAGGAGCCTGGGAAACAGCACGCTTGGGATCTAGCATTCATTCTGCCAGTGGTTTGGTGTCTGATGTTGCACAGGCATAGCAGCTCAGTTCCAGCAGTCAGTGCCAAGAATGGGAGTTAAAAGATTGAGATACTGATCTCAGCAGATATTGACTCATTTTATGACCAAGAAAATGCTTTTTAGCACTACCTCTCTGCCCAGCTTTATAGGGTATCAAAACTTGTGGCTCAAGCTGCTCCTGTGCTCCTCTAGGTCAGAAAGAATTGTAGCACAGCTGCTTTTGGTGAGGAAAAAGGGCAAAAGGGCTTGAATCTGTCCACATTTTTGCTTTACCAAATATTTTTCCTGTTACTGCCAGCATGAATTCCTGGAGAAGAAAAATGACTAAGGTTTTCCAATTTCATGGTCATTTTGATATGCTAAATGGTGCCAAGAGAGCTAGTGGGAAATTAGCGGAGTTCAAATCCCCATGGAACATGGAAATTGCAGTTAAAATAGTGCTGCTAAATATTAGTAATTAGGAAAAGTGATTTTGAAGTGTAGCATTTTAATTAGCTGCAAACTCGGCTCACTTTGAATCAGTGTTACCCACAGAATTGACTACACCTAAGACAGCTAAGCTTCTCAGCTGCACAAATCCCTTGGGCATCCATGGGTAATAACCATGAGACACAGGAGGATGTACACTAAATAAAATGAAAACCGTTTTAATGAAACAAGACTGAAATCTTCTAATAAACATGGAAGATTCAAAGATACAGTGACCACAACTCTCTTGTTCTGTCACTCACTCCCTCCTGTTTGCGTTGCTCCGCATTTCTTAGCATTAATTTTTCATCATCCAGTCCTTAATGGAGTTATTCGTGTTAAATCAGAACCCTTTCTGACCCCACTCCCTCACCCTGGTGAGTTGGGTCAAGGTCTATCCAAGGCCACATGGGCCATTTGTGGCTGGCCCATTCCTGCCTCCTGAGCCCAGGTGGGTGCCCTTACAGTAAGATCATTCATTCCTGTATGCACACGTCCTTTGCTTGTGGAGGAACTAACAATATTAGAAGTAGTACGCTGTAGGAACTTTGATTGCCTGCTCACGTAGCACTGTTACTGTTAAAACCCTTGGATGTATTTATTTTATAAATACCAGTAGGCAGGGGTGTTGGTACAGGCAGTGGTCAGATGACAGAGAGACTGGCACATTAAAGGATTGCAATGGGGTCAGTGTACGTGACTGAGATGACACTGAGCATCCTGTGCCACCCCATGGTTCACACAGCACAGAGTTGGGCCCCTTCTGCTCCAAGCCTGCAAGTTCACAGACATCCACGTAAAAGCCACTAAGGGTTAATGGCAAATGTCGGGTCTCAGTCCACAACACCTCTCTCATGTCACTGCTGCACAAGTGACAAGAAAGAGCGTTGCTTTTAGGGTACAAAACAACAGTAAGGTTTGTGAAATTTCAATTGATTTCAAACACTTCCAGTTCGAGTTCAATATTGAAAAAAGCAACAAAAGATTGTGGAATATCAATACACTGTAACTAAGATTATGTGACTTCAGATGGGAAGGCCAGCTGTGTGGGATGAAGAATGTACTGATAGATACGTATCTCTTAAATGTGGTTCAGAAAGTGAATTGAAATTGCACAGGTCAGGTCAATCCTAGCACTTCTAAGCCTCCCAATATTTAACAGTGCAGATACAATCATCTCTAACATAACTGTCTAGGTGCAATTTATCAAATCACAAAAAGACAGAAATCCCACCATATCATACTGTATTGACAGCCCTGTTGCTCATTAGCAAGGCTGTAAAACCCCGCTAACCAGACATCACCATGCAGCAAGCCAGAGATGTCTGCAAGCCAGCTTTTCCTTCTCTGCATTAGAGTCAGGCTGGCCCTATTCTTGCTGTGCAAATCCAGGGTGGCCAAAGGGCCTCTTCACTCAGTGCCAGCCTGCACTGAGCCACAGCTGCCACCAATGGCCACCAGGACTTTTGCCCATCAGTTGGCCACCTGGCCTCCTTGACATGGTGGATATGCAGCCTGGTGACCACAGGCAAGCCGTGACTTCTTTGCCTTCCTTCAGGATTTATAATGTGACCAAGTGGAGCAAATTTGCTCATGGAAAATGAAAAGCAAATGCCTGACACAACATCTGGCCCTCTTGCCAAAATTCAGATCACCGCTCCAAAGCAGGGGTGTGCTAGAACTGTTCAGAGAAAAGGTCACCAAAACACTGAGCGTTTGGCATGGTGTGAAACAGCTTCTCCTTCCCCTGCCTCTTGTGCTTGGTGCCAGGAGTTGGCCAAACATGACTGGCTGAATTTTTCCCTCAAAAACAGTCAGCCAGAGGCAGACATCTAGCATGGAAAACATCACCTCAAATCATTTGGCAAAGTTTTAGTTGACTGAAAGTGGGGTCTTTTAATGGGATGTGTAGAATAACTAACTTGAGAAGAAAGCATCTCCAACCACACTGCCTATTCTATCTTTACAGTTGACTGTAAAGGGTGTATAAATGCCCATTTTTAGTGCTTTTTCAGCTGCAGCATATTCACCCAGCCTCAAAATGATGTCAGTGGTATCTTTGACTGTCTGTCACCTGCCTTCTGCCAGTACAGACCATCTTACATAGGCACAGTCATGGGTAGTCACGTCCTTGGACATTCAGTGCATCAAACCGTGAGCTACAACTACAATGCAAAAGGAAAAACGATCTTTTGTCTCATGAATCCCTAAGTAGCACAGATGTGCTGCACAGAGGTGTCCTCTGCAGCAGCAGCAGTGTTTTTGGCAGCTCCCTGCTAGCTTTACATGATCCCAGGGACCCAGGAGATCACCTCTGGGCAGCTACAGTGAGTCCACAGCTGTGCAGGGATTCTTGTATGACTGGCTTTCATTCTCACTGCCACCTTCAAAGTTATGCTGTCAACTGAGCCCTCACTCCCACTGCTCTTCGAGTGGCATAACACCAGTTCTGTGTTAAATTTTGTCCCTCTGATCATCTTAATTGCTCTCCTATACCAGCTCCTCCTTTTACATTCACTCTGCCAGCCAACACCATCAGAGTAGACCCACCTCTCTGCTTTATGGATAACAAACAGGGGCTGTTGGGGTACATTTTTCAACTGCAAAATTAGGTTTCTGGTGAAAGTACAATTGTTTAAAACTAGGTTAGCCATCCTGGCACTTACAGGTCAATGGCCTCGGTGTCGCAAGAAGCCTGCTGGGAGGTGTGGGAATGGCGAGTGGGGAGATCTGGGCTTGTGAGGAAGGAGTGGCCAAAAACTGGCTGAGGTCCCCATCTTAAGTCTTGGCCCAGATCACAGTAATAAAATCAAATCTTATTAGTATCACATCTGAAACAGCTCCTTATGTTAGTATGGTCCTATCCATAGAGTGACTTTCTTTGCCTGGATCTCAAAATAACTAATCCTACATCTGCAGTCCAGGTGAGCTAACAGTATGGATACCCAGGAGGACAGATCATTCTGTCATTGTTCTGCATCAAGGGCCAAAGAAACTCCTGCTCAAGATGATGGGAAAGCTCTTGTACAATGATGGAAGGGAATCTAGAAGAGTTGGTGCTGACTGACCAAAACGGAGAGGAGATAGCAAAGCCCAAGAGAAGGAGGCTCAAGAAAGTCCAAATTATTGCTCAATAGAAGGGAAAGAGGATGTTTGATTTGATTTTTAAAAATAAGCAGTAAATGGTTGGAGGAATGGCGATGTGTTCAGCAGCAGCACATCACAAGAGTGGGATTCATTGCCATAGGAGATTGCTGAAATGCTCAGGAGATCTGAAACAATGCATAGGTATTTATATAGGCTGTGAGGACGGCTTAGCTCACTTGAGATAATAATGCAGCAGGGATGGGACATACACCAGAGTTCTTCAGGTGACATTCCAAGCGAGAAATGCCTAGGGTTAGGATTTATTTTTTTTTCCAAGTTACAATTTCCAGTCGGCCATTGTGTGTCCCCTGCTCTGGTTCTGGGGCACTCAGCAGTTGGGTACCTTCAGAGACAAGGAAGCAAAAGAACTGTGAGCCTGGATCCAAGGCAGAAATCCCTGCACTCCTGTGTCCTGCTGTGTGAGAAAGCATGTGAGGAATGATAATTCCCTTTGGAAGTGTGACCCAAATTGCATCAGGCATTTGCTTTCCTGATTCCTGCTTCCACTTCACTTCTGCTCATATATAGAAACACCTGCAAGCAGGTTTATCATCCTTGCTGAGAGCTTGAGCTCTACGATATTTTCAGAAGAATTAGGAAAAGTATCCACAAAGGAAACCAAAAAGTAAAAAGGTGTCAAAAACACGTCAATGTAATATGTCAGTTTATCCATACCAAACAAACTTGCTGAAAGAAAAATCAACTGTCACTATAAAATCTGAGATTAAGTTTCTCAAATCAGAGCCTTTAATCAGGAGCAATACTTGAAGAGGAACAAAGAGAATCTATGATGAAAAATCAGGACAGTTGAGCACTAGGCTCAGCGGGACTAACTGCATGACAATATGGATAAGAATGATAATTGCATTAGCTTAGCCTGAAATGGCTGGCCAGAGCTTGGTTTTTTTGGTCAGCTGGATTTTTGTAATGTCTTCGTTTGCTTTCTAAGCAAACTTGGAAAAAGAATTACAACTATATTAGGGCACATCCATACTCTTAAGGGGACAGGACACTGAAGAAGTTCATCCTAAAACTGGCTTAAAGGTTTTGAAGTGCATGGACTCAGGTTGGTAAAACCAAGGGTCCCTTTCTGGTCCTGTCAAGGTAAAATAAACAAGAGGAGGTGTTGGAAACTCAAGGATGTAGGATGACCCCACTCCAGCATCCCACTGCCAGTCCCACACAGCCAGGATCTCCCATGGCACCTGGTGGGAATGGATAGGGGCTGTGGGGCACTATGGGTCTGCAGATGGGGGAAGCAGCACCTGTTCTTACCCAGTTTCACTTGGGACATGCATCTCACCAGTGAGCCCTGCTTCGTTGGAGCAGAAATATGGCCTCAGCTGAAGCCCAGAGCAGGGAGCACCAGTGATGCAGGAGAAATGTGAACACCTGGTGCTGCTCTACATGCAGAATCAACTACACGTGGACAGCATTACATGCCTTGGTGGGACCAGAAAGTCTGCAAGACAGTGCCTCTCAGGGCAGGAGCAGTGAGCCCCATAGCATGGGCAGCATCTAGCAGCCGACAGCAGAAGCAAGGGCTTCCTCATCCCCAAGTGCAAACCTGGTGTCTCTGTGCAAAGGGGAACAAGTTGCTTTTACCTATCCTACCCAAAATAAGCAGGACAAAAATCCCTACAGCAGTGGACCAGGCAGCTCCACTGCCCTCCTCCAGCCTTCAAAGCAGTGCCATTGAGCCCCTGCTGCTAGCTTAATGTGAGGCTCAGGATACCAGTTTTTAACACCTTGGCTCTGGTGAAAAACATTGGAAAGGCATTTTCTGCCTCCGACCGCTTGCGACACCACCATCCCCTTTCAGTGGCTGCTTTTATTCGCCTTCCTCCCAGCTTAAATAAACAAGAAGCAGGTTAAAAACAAACTCCTGGCCCTGTCCCCTTCCTGAGCTGGCTGTTCCATCGCTGCTTCCTGCCCTGCGTGCGAGCTTCCTCCTCCTGAGGAAAGAGGCACTGGCCAGAGCTGTCTGCGGTGGGGCGATGCAACCTACCTGACTCTGACACCCATACCCAGCCCACCCCCCTGCCCTGCTGGGAGCTCACAGGTATGGCCACCCCAGCTGTCCCAGGGCACGGGGACACCTGTGACACCAGCTGCATGTGCTGGGGCTTCTCCATCTCCAGTATGCTAGGCAAAAGTGTTGCTTGCTCCTTCCTCACCTTCTCCAAGGGGGGATTTTTTTCCACATGTAACACATCATGACCACAGAAACACTGTGCGATGGGCTGCTGGCTTGAGCGATTTTGCTTTTGGGAGCTGCCATGTGTCCCTTGCTCCAGCCGAGCTCCTCAATCCCCGTAATGAGGGACACCAGGAGCTCACCCTGGCCTGAGGTTACCCTGTAGCAGCAGGCTCGTGGGGATGTCGAAATGTTTCACATGCACAACTTTGCCTCATAGCACCCCTTGTGATGGGTGTTTTCTACTCCTGCCATTTGAAATGCTCAGAAACAGATAAAAAGGAGCCAAGCCACACAGTGAGAGGTTGCACTAGGCAGCTCCTCTTGCCCCTGGCTCCACGCTTTTTTGGCTAGGCCCAGCTGTTTTTCTCAGCAGAGCGTCTGATATTTGGTTTTCTGTGCATACTAAAGAGCTTTATGTCCATCATAGTGCTGCTAAAACTTGTCACTGTCTGGTGTTGGCAACAGCATTCTGACTGGGGCTTTAAACCATTGTAGATAAGTTATGTGTCATTTTCCATTTAAATTAAAATGGATCACGCAGAACTCAAGTGAAACTGATAGCTGCGCTTTCATTTTATTTCACTCTATTTCCCCTTTATGACCAATTTTACCCTAATAATCAAAGCACTGATTGCAGATCCCTAGGGCACCATGTGGCACAAAGGACCAGGCTGGAAAGGGCCACTATCTTCCGCATTGCCACAGACAGAGGCACAAGTTGGGTAATTAATGGTAACACATAATCTAGGCTAGTATTCCCTCTCTCTGCTGGGAAAGCCTCCACTTCTCAGTTTGCCTGAACTCTACAGGCATGGAGATGTGAAACATGATGTGTTCTGGCACCTACTGATGATGCCAGTGTTACAGGGTGGTCAAAACCCAGAGGTTCTCTGGCATAGAAATGCATCGGTTTGGGCTATACTGAACAAAGATGCTTAAAACAAAACAACAACAAACATGAAATATCATATTAATCCACATAAAAGGGCAAGTAGTAAAAATGCAAGCTCATTTTGTAGGATGGGCAGCAAGAGACAACTTACATGGGGCTGGCTGGTAAAGCCCGGGTGAAAATCCTCATCTTAAAAGACAGGCACGGTAAATACTCTGGTTTTCACCAAAATATGATAATGGGCTTTGCTGCTCCCAAGGATTTTGAAAGGACTGGGATACGCTGGGTCTTACCACTTGATGCACTTCAGTGGAGAAGCCCTATTGACTAAGTCTGCAAAAAAACATCCCACCAACCCCAACCCTTCAGGCTGCAGTCACATGGAGACGTTTCAGGGATCTCAGCCGCCTCACAGATCTGCTGCATTGTTCTGGATTCAGTGTTTCTCCCTTGAGCCTTGTGCAATCCTCCCATACCTCCTAGGACTTGGAGGGAGAAGATGTCTTTCACTTGGACATCTGGCACTGGTGCCCTAGTAGATGAGCTTTGGGGCATTTTGTGAAATAGTCTGCAGCTTCCAGAAGCTGCTTCATCAGAAACACAAAAACATCAGGCAATGCAGACCATTAATGAAATGACTGTCAGACAATTATTTCATGGTGTCTCTCCGTGTTTCTGTGGGACCGTTATTTGCAATTGGGCACTAATCTCCTGCATGTATTTTCTAAAGCCTTCCTCGATCTTATCGATAGGATCTTTTCCTTAGCTTAGCTAAGGTGTTTTGTTTTTTTTTTTTTAAATGTATGGACTCCCAGTACAGTCCAGAATGTCAGTCAATTTTGAAATAATAAAAAATATTATTTTCCCACTCCGGGCATCACTTAACAAGGTTCTCCACAGGTTGTTTGCATGCGCTGCCATTTCTAGGCAGCAACTGATCTTCAGCTCCAAACTGACTCACCAGGATCAGAGTGCATTTCCCTTGGCGCTTGAAAGATACACGTTGTTGTATTCCAGAGGTGTATCTTGTTTGAGGGCAACTGGGTTTCCCAGCTGACTTTCCAGCTACTGAGATGCTTTCTGGGAAGCATCTTCCAGCACTGTCTGGCTGTAAGAGAAGAAACAAGCATCTCCTACTCTGCATCCTTCCTCTTGAAGAATCACCTCTTTCATTTCCCACCCATGACATGGCTTGCGTTTAGCCCCAGAGCTCCTGTCCGTAAGCATCACCACTAGATGTCTGGACGTGTCCAGTGTGTGGCTGCAAAGCTGCCATTTTTCTTAATGCTTGAACAAGTTGTACCTGGGATGCATAGTCTGCCCTCACTATAATGTTCCTCCAGTGCAACCACTAATACACGCAAACTGAACCAAGAAGCGCACCGGTTGAAACAGCTACAACTCATTGTGCTGGCCACTGAAATGCTCTCCCTCTGTCACCTTACCTGTGCAAGCATTTTGCAATGCTAACAAATCTACAAACAAACCTTCCATAACGTGAGCAGAGTCCTACCAACCCGCACCTCTGTGAGTGGCAGGGGAGTGGGCCAGCTCCACAAAGTCTCAGGGCTTTTTTTTTGTTTCAGTGGAAATTCCCCATCACCAGCTGTGTAACAGAGGTAACTGGCGGTCTTTTGGAACAGCTCCCTTTCCTTTGGGACCAGCTACAGGCTGCCAGCCTTGAGCTTATCTCCAGCCATGTGTAACTGCACTTACCACTTCTCGTTCAAAGGTCTCAGTGTGCACCCATAATTAGCCCAAGCGCAGCAGGCCTCCCGAAAGTCTGAGGCCACTCAAGGCCTCCTGATGGCATGCTGTGCCATCCCTTCATCAGAGCAGCCAAGCTGGCGCTTTATGTAAGCCCCCAACATCACTGAATCACCAGCTGATCAGGCTGTGCTGAGGAAGCAATTTTCCCTGACCTCCAGCTCTGCTTCTGCCTGCCAATACACAGCTTTCTGCTGCTTTGGGAATGCCCCAACTGAACCCAGCAGCAGCATCCAAGAGCTCATCATTCACAGACAGCTTCTCCGCAGTGAATTCAGGGGTGGCTGTTTCACTTGTTCCTTGTTGCTGCTCCTGCAAAGCACCCAGCAGGCAGATGGGATCATTTATATTTCACATGCACAGGATCTGACCCACGGGGGTCTCATGGCTTCAGATCTCTCACAGCCGGGCTAGAAGCAGCCCTGGGCTGTGACCACCTTTAATTGTACTGTTCCAGGAAGCGGGACAGCTTTTCACAGACCAGCTACCTGCCCAGTCAAGGCACAACTCTAAGGAGAATTTCCAAATTGATGGTGCAAGGCCCAGTTCCTGGTGCTTACGGCGCAGTGGGGCACCCCCCCACCACACATTATGATGTATCCCTGAAGTGGGTAGGCAGCAGCAGACCGCCCACCCTCACGCCTGACTTTTTGCTCCAGTGCCTGTTTACCAAATTGACTTCCCCAGGTCTGGATATGCCCATGCTCTCCTGTCACCACCACCAACCTCGGGCTACCCGGCTCAACCATCGTCTGCCCAATTGCCACTCTACTCTGCCTAGTTTGGTGGGGCTTGGGACATTTCTGCTAATGTCATCCTTTCCACGTGGCCTTGGAGTGCCTCTGTGATCAGCTTCTCCCTTTTTTTTTAAGTTTCATCCAATAATGGATCCAGATTTCCGCTCTCCTAGGCTGGACTCAGCACCATTTCTGCAGCCGGTCGGAGGCCTTCATCCACTGCTGCACATCGTGCCTTCACTCTCTGCCACTTTCCCACATCAGGTTTATGTCTGCCTCAGAATTCAGCTGTGTGTTTGCATGGCCGCTCTCTCCCTTATTTTACAAACGTCAGGTATGTGTGCGGCACTGAATTGATTGTGCGAGCCACAGGGCTGAGCTGGCAGGACTGACCATCTCACTGGCCCCATGCTCTGCTGCAACCAGAATAAGCACCTTGTCAAGTGCCGCTGCCTCTCACAGAGTCTTTGGCTTCCCGTTATACACAGATTTCACTTCCGGCTCAGGAAGCTTCTGCACCACAAGCCGCTGAGCTGGAGAGCTTTCATTACATGCATGCCCTGCTCCCCAGGCTTCTCCTACCAGGCTTCAGGGCAGCCAGACCTTCCAACTCACCTCAGGTTTTATATGTTCTCATGTCATTTTTTTACCTTGTGGTCTCAGTCTGCTTATCCCGTAATAGAAAATCTATGAGTAAGTCGACATCCAACGTACAGTGGCAGTCTTCATTACTACCTTGTTATGCAAGCAAAGTGATGCAGATCCTCTCCTGGTTCAGCTAGAACCTCTTTTCTCCCCATTTTGTAGCACTTGGTTGACTAGCTCTCTAATTTCACGTCTGATTCCATGTCACACACCCAGTCTAGACAATTCAATCTCTTTCTTCTTTTTCTTCCCTGAAGGCGAGCATGCAATTCCATAAGAGCTGGAGCAATCAAGCTGGCCCCTAGGCACCGCACCTCAGAGGCCTTCCCTCACGCTGTGGTTATGGACTGCACTGAACAAACCCCCCAAATTATTCTCCAAAAGATGGCATTCACACAGACCCAGCAGGGACAGGCAGACTGATTCCTTCTTCGCAAACTGCAAATGGTGGTGAACGCTCGGTGTTAGGTGGTGTTCTGGCCAACCCTTGTTTCCAGCAGGAGGCTGTTTTTTCCTGTGGTGACCAACAAGCCTTTGATTTCCTTTTCTGAGTGATTTTTCAGTGTCTTAACTCTTTGCTGTGGTTTGACCTGGCTCAGAAGTTGGCCAAAGCTTTTCTTGTGCTTCTTATTTTCTGAAAAGCATTTTTGTCCGCAATGGTCATGCTACTGATCACCTCTTTGATCCGTCTTGCCATTTTAAAATGGGAGCCTTCCAGGAGGATTCCACACTCCCTGGACACTGAAGCCTTTTATCCTTGCCTGCAGGTGACCTCTTATAAACCTCTCTTATAAGTTTCCAGATGTTGCTCGAACTCCTTGTGCAAATCCTCCAGCTGTCTCAGATCATGTTTTGCATCTTTTGATCATTTTCGATTTCCGTTCCTGCCGGGTTTCAGAGAAATCCCACACGTAGGATTTGTCCTCTTGGAAGCAACGTCTCGCTCTGAACATTGTTTCTGCAATTTGAAGATTTGCAGGTTGTCCCAGAGGTGATGAAGCTGGCGAAGATGCTCCAGAGATGCTCCAGGTGCTGTACCAGAGGAGGTGCTCCAGAATCGTCCTCCTCCTTCCCACTCCCACATGTGAGTTGCAGAGAGCATGCAGAGCCATTCCTTTGCCCACGGGAGGGCTCAGCTGGAGGCAGCTATCTTTTCTTTCAGAGTTCCAGCTCCCCTTGAGTCAGCGCTCCCCAAAAGTTTTCCACGGACTTTCACTCGGGGCTGAGCTCCATCTTGAGCTCACCTGAGGTTTTCTTGATGCTTTCCAGACAGGAGAAGAAGACTTTCTCCTGCAGCTCCACCTCGAGTGCCCAAACGGGTGCTTGCCTCGGGGCAAGCGATCCCACACGGCACGGCTGAACGCTGCCTGCGATGCCCGGGCGCCGCCAGTCCCCTCCGTTCCCTTCCAAGGAAGCAGCCCTGCAGCCCGCGCATCCGCTGCCGTTCCTCGCTGGCACTGCTTTTCCAAGCAGCCCAGCGGGAGCTCGCGAACCTCTCCCTCGGGCATTCCCAAATATAACCTATGGGAACACGGCGCACGCAGCCCCAGTTTATTTTTAGCCACCCCCCGTTTCGTCGCGCTGACAGTGTGAAAATGTCACCGGGTTAACGGGGCTGAAGGTGCCCGCAGTGCCATCCGCACCCTGCCCGGCAGCGGGAAGCTCTCAAACCTCCCCGGCCGCTCACACCCCGCGCACGGCAGCGCCGTCTCCTGCAGTCAGCCGCTGCCCGCCCAGCTCCCCTCGGAGCGGGTCCCGTCTCCCGTCTCCCTGGGGGCTGCTGCGGGGCAGAGCCCAGGCCGGCCAGAGAGGTGCACGTTGCCGGCCCTGTGCCGCTCCGAGCGGGGAGGGGAAGAGAGCTGCGGTGCAGCCGCGGGGGGCGGACGCCCGGAGCCGGCGCTGCGTGCACGTGCGGAGCTGCGTGCGGGGCGCAACCACACGCGGCGGCACCTGCGGCGGCTGTGAGAGGGAGGGTAGAGAGGGAGGGGGGGCCGTGCGGGGACGTGCAGCGTCCGGCAGGGGGAGGCGGAGGTTTCCTCCCTACCCACCTCTCCAGAGAGGAGCAGCTGTGCCTTACGGGGACGGGGGTCGGCCCTATAGAGTGGAAATAAGAGTGGAGATTAAAGGACGCAGAGATCGAAGTCAATTTAAAAATAAAAATAAAGAAAAATTTAAAAAGACAGAAATAGGGAAGAAGAAAAAAAAAAAAAAAAGGAAAACATTAAGCGAATAAAAGCGAATAAAAGCGAAAAAAAACCCCACACTGCTAAAATCCAACAGCGGCGGCAACGCCGGCAGCCGCACGGGAACGCCGCTCTGTGGCAGGGCTGCCCGGGGACCCCCCCGCCCCGCCGCCCGCCGAGGGCTCCCCGCAGGCCCCGCCCCCCTCCCCGCCCCCTCCCTCCCGGCGCGCGCCGCACGTGAGCCGGGTGCGGGGCGGGCCGGCGGCGCGCGTGCCCCGCGGGCAGCTCTGCGCGGCGCGGCGGGTGCAAGGCGCGGCGGTGCTGCGGGCGGGTGCGCGGGAGCGAGGCGGGCAGGGGGAGCGACGGGGGCGGGGGGGCCGAGCAGCCGCACGCTTTCGCCACTGCACGGGAAAGGGGGCCGGAGGCTGCATGTGCGCAGCTCCGCCCGCGGATCCCCGAAGCCCGCTCGCAGCATCCCGCGGATCCCGGCCAGCGCAGCGAGGGAACGCCGCCCGCCGCCTGCCATGGACGAGGGCATCTCCCGCCTGCCCGAGCGGCAGCTGCTGGAGCACCGCGATTTCATAGGGTAAGCGTCCCCGCCGCGCCCCGCGCCGCTCTCCCGAGCGGAGCGCTGCAGAGCGCTGCGGGAGGCGGCTCCGCCGCTCCGCTGCCCGTTCTGGGGGCGCCGGGCCGCGCTCCGGGCCGGGCTGCAGCTCCGCTTCTCCGCAGGCTGGAGTACCCGGCGCTCTACATGTGCAAGCCCAAGCGCGGCGTGAAGCGGGACGAGAGCAAGGTAAGGGCGGGCTGCGGCGCTCCGGCACCGCGCTCCGAACTTCCCCGGCGCGGCGCGGCGCGCTGCGGTGCGGGGTGTGCGGGGCCCGGGGCTGTGCGTGACGCCGGGCGCCTCCGTGCCAGGAGACGTACAAACTGCCGCACCGGCTGATCGAGAAGAAGCGGCGGGACAGGATCAACGAGTGCATCGCGCAGCTGAAGGACCTGCTGCCCGAGCACCTCAAGCTCACGGTAAGCCCGGGGGGGCCTCGGCTCCCGGTGGTGCAGCCGGGAGGAGGCCGAGCGCCCGCCGCCTGCCTTGCAGACGCTGGGGCACCTGGAGAAGGCGGTGGTGCTGGAGCTGACGCTGAAGCACCTGAAGGCGCTGACGGCACTGACGGAGCAGCAGCACCAGAAGATCGTCGCGCTGCAGAGCGGTACGCGGGCCCGGGGGCGGGCGCGGGCAGAGCGGGGCAGCGCGCGGCGGCGGCGGGCGAACGCTGTCCCCCCCCGGGGGGCTTTCCCGCAGGGGAGCGCTCCGTCAAGTCTCCGGTGCAGGCCGACCTGGACGCTTTCCACTCGGGCTTTCAGACGTGCGCTAAGGAGGTGCTGCAGTTCCTGTCCCGCTCCGAGAGCTGGACCCCCCGCGAGCAGCGCTGCGCCCAGCTCCTCGGCCACCTGCACGCCGTCTCCTCGCAGTTCCTGCCCGGCCCGCGGCTCCTCTCGCCGCCGCCGGGCCCGCTCGCCAAGGGACCCTCCTCCTCTTCCTCCCCGCCCGCCCCCCTCCGCGCGCCGGCCCGCAAGCCGGAGGGCCAGGCGCACTGCGTGCCCGTCATCCAGCGGACTCACGCCGCCGAGCCGGGCGCCGAGACCGACACGGACACGGACAGCGGCTACGGCGGAGAGGCCGAGGCGCGGCCGGAGCGCGGCGCAGGGCCGGTCGGGCCGCTCCCCGCGCTGCCCGTCAAGCAGGAGCCGGCAGGGGACGAGGCGCCGCCCGCGCCCAAGCGGCCGAGGCTGGAGCGGGGCGGCAGCCCCCCGCCCGGCGCCGCCCTGCCCGGCGCTGCCCGCGGCGCCGACGCCGCGCTGCTGAGCTCGCTGATGGCGCTGGGCGCGGGCGGCGGCGCGGCGCCCTTCGGACAGCCGGCGGCCCCCTTTTGCCTGCCCTTCTACTTCATCTCCCCCTCGGCCGCCGCCGCCTACGTGCAGCCCTTCCTGGATAAGGGCGGCCTGGAGAAGTACCTCTATCCCGCCGCCCCCATCCCGCTGCTCTACCCCGGCATCCCGGCGCAGGCGGCCGCCGCCGCCGCCGCGGCCGCCGCGGCCGCCGCCTCCTTCCCCTGCCTGTCGTCCGTGCTCGGCCCCGCCGAAAAGGCGGCCGGGCTGTCCCCGGCGCCCCACCTGCCGCCCCCCTTCGCCGCCGCCGCCGCCGCCGCGGTGCCCGCCGCCGAGCCCGGCGAGGAAGCGGAGCCCGCGACCGCCGAAGAGCCCGGCACCGAAGGGCAGTGAGCGCGGAGGGCGGGCGGGAGGAGGTGCCGAAGGGGTCCGCGGAGCCCCCCGCGCCGCTGCCCCACAGAGGACCGTCCCGGACGAAATTTGCTACTCAGTATTTTTTTAATGTTTGGCTTTATAAGTGCATACATATGTTAAGGAAAAAAAAAAAGAAAAAGAAGAAGAAAAGGAAGAGAAATAGTAAGGATACTTTTTTTTTTTTCTCTCTCTCTCTCTAAGGTAACTTAAATGTCGCACCTTATTGTGATGGGTTTGTAGTGTCCCTGGGTCCCGCCGAGATGCTCGCACCGCGCCGCGCGGGCTCAGGTTGGGGCGGAGGGGCGGCGGAGCCCCGCACCTGTGCCAGCACTTTATGGGCGGCCGCAGTGCCTTGGGCACCCCGGGGCGCCGCCGGCTTCGGGAGTGCGGGGAAGGAGGGCAGTGCCGTTATGTAACCCCGCGTTCGGCTGTTCTGTTTTCGGCTGAGGTATACAGCTGCGGCGGGTGCGTCTGTGCTCACCCGTCTTTATTTAATTCAGTATGTTCCCCAGAGATTTCCCCCCGAACCGTGCTGTATAAGATGAATGTTTCTGCACTGAACTACGGAAAGAAAACCCCTCTCTCTCTCTCCCTCCCTTCCCTAAGAAAGCGGAGAGCGGCTCGTCAGCCCGAGCTCGTTTGAGCATAAATTCTGACTGACACAAACCGGAGGAAATCCCCCCCCTCCCGCTTTGCAATCGGACGCCGAGACCTTTGGGGCAACTTTCCCGGCCGGGCTCTCCCCTCATCCCACTCCCGAGCACCGCGATTTCCCTTTCTGGAGCCAAACCAGACGCCAGATAATCACACAGATAAAGCTTTTATAATAAGGCTTAAACCGAGACCTTGCCTGGATATTTTTAGTTTGTTGCCAAGGTAGCACTGTGAGAAATCTCACTTGAATGTTATGTAAGAGGTGAGACACAACAGTCTGACTCGGCGCGAGCGCGTACCCGGCTCGGCCCGGCGCTTCGGTGCATTGCTGCTGCTGTTGCTGCTGTTCGCCTCAAACGCTGTGTTTAAACAACGTTCCAGACCTTAGCGGCCTACCGAGTGGCTGTATGTACATAGTTGTTAATACATCCAATTAATGATGTCTGACATGCTATTTTTGTAGGGAGAAAATACGTGTTAATGATATTTTGAGTTAAATATCTTTTGGGAGGATTTGCTGAAAAAGTTGCACTTTTGTTACGATGCTTACGCTTGATACAAGCTTACGCTGTCTTAAATTATTAAAAGAAAATAAATCCTGTCTGCAAGAAACCAGCTGGTTTAGAACAGATTAGTATGTGATATATTAGAGACCGATCTTTATATTCCGTATTTTCCAGCACTCCGTGAATTCTATTATCTAAATATTTCCACACTATTTTGTGATTAAAAAAAAAATTCTTACTAAGGAATAAAAACTTTAATACGCAAAATGGGGTTGTCTACTAATTAAGAACCTGAGGATAATAGGTAATAACAATAGGTGCACGGAGCATCCCAAGGTGTGATGCTGCAGCTGACGGCGATCGCTGCACGCCTCGGCACGTTTTGAAGCTGGGTTCCAATGCGCTCGGTTTCCTTTAAGAAACATTGGCCAATTCCGGTGTAAGAGGTTCCACAAAGCAGTGCCTAAAGCGCACGTGGAACAGATGTGCTTCTTCCTGATGCTGACCTTTTCCTTCTTCTTCCCGCAAAATACTACTTTTGTCTTTTAAAATGAATCCTTTGCGTTTCTGCTGCTGTGTGTTTATGCTGTCTTTGTTCACCGTGAGCAAACGTGATGATCGACGTGACGGTCAGTTCTGTGAGTACCTGAGCTCCAGAGCAATGATGGACGCCCCAGCTGGAAATCAGCTACAGAAGCCGAATCTCTGGGGCAGTGGGAGCAGAGTAGTGGGAGCAGGCAGACAATGCACAGCATGGGAATACATGGGAATACACCACCCTAAAGACCTACGCAGGTTTAATATCTGAGCTGCTCACTGGCTTTTCTTCAAAAATTCTTCCTGTTCCAGGGAAATAAAATTAAGGAAGCCCTCCAACAGTAGCCTGCATTTATGTAAGAGAGAAAAAGAGTGCTTCTTGCTCCCTCTTCTGGTTCCTCAGCACCAGTGCCCTGTACCTCGGCACCGACAGAATGAAGTTGGAGCTCAGACATCACAGCAAAGCCTGGGACTCGTGCTGACTCCAGTGGTCCTTTGGGATACAAGAGGACGTATACATCAGATGAAAAATAAGTTGTTCTCTGAAACTGTTCAAACACGATTGTTAAGAAGTAGGTGTGTGTCTCTTTGCACTTCATAGTAACGTTAATTTCGACTAGAAAAAGATACTACAGAAAGATCCCAATTAGTGATTTTTCCCATTCAGTCTCAGGGCTGCTACTTCACAGCCCTGTGCCTGTCGACATGAGTTTGCTGAAAGCAAAGTGTATCGAAGGCAATGTAAAAAACTGCTGCTGGCCATGGATGCCGTTGTTCTGTGCATGGGGCTGTCATGAAAGGGAGCTGGGTGCAGCCCTTCTGCTCTGCAGCTCACCAGCTATTTTGCTTTGACTTGCATACCTAAACAGCTACACTGGGCTGACCGTGCTCGTGTAGCCTCTCACCAGAGAGGGAATTGGCCTTACTGTATGTGAACCCCTTCCTGCCAATTTATGACATGGCCAGAAATGGCAGAACCATGAACACTTCTGAAAAAAGCCCATCACTACCCCTCCTACACAACCTGGGAGGTGTGAAACCCGAGTGAGGACCAGGCTCTGTGTCTTCGTCACATTTCCAGCTCTTGGGAATATGGATCAGCTTAGATTTCATTGGGCTATAAACTAAGATCCTTATGGTGTTTAACCAATTTCAGTGTTTACTGTGTACAATAGCAGGATGGCTTATTTTTATTAGGCTTTGAATCAACCGTGCCAAATGATTTCATGCTGAGTTACAGCATTAATGGAGTCTATTAATTTATTACATAAAACATAAAGGCAAAACATGACAATAATGTTCAGATAATAGCAATGCCTCACAAACAGATTTAAAAGAGGCTTGTAATTTGGGCTGATAACCCACTGCTGCTGGAGGCAAGAGGCAAATGCCAGGAGGGATCCAAAGAGTCAGCTCTTCAGGTTTTCATTCAATTCCAGGCTTCCTCAGATCCTTTTGGAGCCTAAGCCAAACTATGTTTTACATTTTCTCAAAGTTAAATAGATACATATAAGCAACAGACAACAGCCCGGCAGGCTTAAATATATATTCACTTGCATGCAAATATCAGTGCTAGTTATTCCTATCTACTTTCTGTAACTCTATAATACATGGTGCAACTCTTACCTGTGCTTCCCGGGTGCTAGGAGTGCAGGACTGGGTGCTGTATATATGGCATGCGCTGGGATAGATACTGTATTTCTCACAAACCAGGAGACACAACATAAAGGGGTAAATGTATTTTCTTAAGCAATAAAGTTTGAAAACAGGTCTTACTTACCCAGTACATTATGACAGCATGGAAGGTTCCACCACAGTGTGCCAAATAAAGATTGTTAAGGCAGCAGAAGGTAATATCATATAACTCCCACTTAAGGCAATGAAAGTTTTATGTTTGGAAAGATTACAGTTACAGAACTCAAACTGACTATTCACTCTGTTTAAGAAAGGCCTGACCTACCATTTAAGTCAGTGTGAGTCTGTTTCTTGAGCGTAATTGGTTTTGAAGTAGGTCCTAAGTCTAAGTCGTGGGGCTTTTTTGTTTGTTGGCTTGGTTTAATTTTTACTGCTAGTTGGGGCAGACTATGTTCAATACTCAGCAAGCCTGGGGACTGCATGCACTGCAGTGTTTCAGCACAGGCAAATTTATAGTCTGTGGGTCCCACAATGTGTTTCCTTTCCTCTTCAAACATCAGCTCCTGAAGTCATGTGATCTTTGCCTTCACTTGAGAAGTTTCCTGCCTGTTAGCTGCAGAAATGTACTTAAAACATGACCTTAAAGAAAACAAGAAACAGAAATGCCTAATTTCCTCTCTGTAAAATAACACTTGTAATTTTTAGAGCTAGCTTCATTCAAGAAAGCCTGACTCTCTTTACTGCTGCTGGCTATGCTGCAGAACAGCTCAGAGAAACCAGTGGCTCACCTGCCGCTAGCAGCAGCTGTGCAAGTTGCAGACAAACCCAGGCCAGAGCGAGCTGTTGCTGCCACTTGTCTCTGGGTCCCTTATGTAGTTACAGGTCTCCAGGTTGCCCACCTTCCTTGGACACCAACCTTGCCACTGCCTCCATCACCCAGGCCCAGGTCAAGCAGCATAGTCCTCTGTGCCTCCCTGAACACATGGATGGCTGCCTGCTCCTGGGGCACCAGCATGCCTCCTAGCAGCGCCTGGAGGAGGCAGGTCATGCATGGCACGGGCAGCAGGCCATGGCCTTGTGCTTTCCAGGAAGCTGGGACCATGGTTTCAGGCAGCTCTGTAAGGGCCAGGGGACAGCTTTTTCCAGCATCCGTAGAGACCTTCTGTTGTTGTTTTCTTTCCTATGATGTATTTTCAAAGCTCAGTTTCCCTGTCCCTGTGGATCCTGGTGCAGGCTACAAGCACATGCACTGATTTTCACCAGTCTTCCACCTCAGCCAAGATCTTCTGGGGTCAAATAAGAAAATGAGGATTTGTTCCTCAATAGAAACACATCCACATTCCCTTCCCCACCGAGTTTATCGCAGTTTATGCTCAATTACCAGCAAGGACACAACACTAACTGGCACAAATGTTGTCTGAGAGCTCTGTGAGCTCGGTTCCTCCATCCTCTGGTACCAGAAGATCCCCAGGTACAGGCATCTGCCAGGCGTTGCTGTTTGTGCGACTGCAGCCCAGGGAAGCGCCTCCAAGCTGTGCCCCTGCTCATCCCGCTCAGTGCTGAGGTGAGGAAGTGCCTCCAAGCTGTGCCCCGCTCAGTGCTGAGGTGAGCCAGGTCTGTGTGATACATCTCTATCCAGACCAAAGCTGGAGAACCAGATACCAAAACAGAAAGGCTTGCGGTCACAGCAGTCTCACAACTGAGCCATTTCTGAAGAACAGCCTCAGGAAAAGGGCTATGTAAATGTGGCACCCTCTTACTCAGCAGAATAGGGCTCCGCGAGTGCATTACGAGCCCCAGCTGCGCTAAGGAGCCCGGGCTGATGGATGCTGAAGCGGACTCGACGCTCCCTGCATTCACCAACATAGTTCCCAAGGCTTCAGCCCCACTGCTGGCAGCAGGCAGCACAGAGCCTTGCTGACACATAGCGCTCCTTGCAAAGCATCTCTACACAGCAGCAGCCGATCATCTGCACAGCCCTTGGCACGGCTCTGAGGTAAAGACTGGCCTGCAGCCTTTCGTGCTGGCTGGAGGGCTGCCGTCCCAGGGCAGTGACCCCGGTCCACGCTCCCTGCAGGCTTGGATCCCGGCTTCCAGCGGCAAGGCCGACGGCTCGTGAGGAAACACCGCGTCCATACCCCGTCAGGGCGCGGGAGCCGCCTCAGCCCGGCGGCTGGCCACAGCGCGAGGCACTGACCGCCATCACGCGCGCTCCCACCTGACCGCCGCGCACGCTGCCCGGCACGTGCTGCGCCGCCGCAGGGAGGTGGGGGGAGGCGCGCCGAGGGGGCGGGGCCGCGGCGGTGCCATGGCAACGGGGGGCGCGTTCCCTCAGGAGGCGGCGTTCATGGGACGCGTCAGCGCTGACCGCCCGGTCTGAGCGTTGCTCGGGGCTCGGCCCCGGGACTTTGCGCTGAGGGAAAAGAGCAAATCTGTGCTTTCTCAACAGCCGAAGTAGGTTTGCTCCTTTGCTTCAGAACTGACTGTGGTGGCAGGGGAAGCTGTGGCTGGAAGAGTGAGGAGATAACGTGGTCATCTGGGAGAAGGAACCCGGATTCCAGCCCTGTTTTGCATTTTATGTTACATGTACCGAAGCATTTTACGTTACAAGCTCACTGTAAACAAACAAATAAAAATGAGTACACACAGGAGCCAGGGCCGCAGCTGCATTCTGCAGCCCTCTTGCCGCATAGTAAGACCCTAATCTCAAGGCATTGCGCAGTAAGTGACTGCTTAGTGACCCTGTACAGTCTGCAACGAGACTCGCAAGAGAGACAGGGCGCGCAAATTCGAGCGCAGCTCTGAGCCAGGGCCCTCCCGCAGCAGCGGGAGACGCAGGGCTGAGCCTCCTTGGGGGAGAGCACGCGATCCCAACCACCGACAGTGAGAAATGTTCTACTTAGCAAACTTTCACCTCAGTGCGAGGCTGCTCCT